GAGCAGGAGCGGGTTGTTGGGGTTCCAAAGGCAGCGTTAGGGTGCCCTGGCATGAGGCTGGATGTACACCCACCTCTGATGGTGGCACATCCAAGGATCTGCCCACCTGCCACCTTCCCCTTGGGTGCTCAAGCAACGCTGCAGCTCTGCATCACCCTCGCAGCACATTGTCCTGCTCCTCACCTTGTTCTTGGTGACAAAAAAGGGGGCAGGGTTGTCCCCCAGCTCCCAGGCTGGGCATTCTCCCTACGGAAGGGCTTGCCAGGTCCTCAGTGTGTGCATGGAGAGCAGCAGTGGGGCCAGGGTATGGCCAGGAGGTCAGAGCATGGTTGAGAAACCAGGGGTTGTTTGTGTGGATTTCAGGGAGCTGCTTGAGTCCAGCTCGTGCTTGTCTTGGCATGATCACTTCTCAAAGGCACAAGAGGTGACAAGAGGTAAGAGCTGGTCTCCACTGTGGCGTGACATCTCTGAGGTTTCTGGTGGCTTCAAAGGCTGTAGCACTCTATCCCCATCCCCATCGCCTCCTTCCCACAGCATTCACTCCCTCCCCTTCTCTCTCCATCCCAGGGGCCGACACCATGAGTGAGACGAGCTCCATCAGCATTGAGGCCACAACTGACAGCAGAGACACCTCGGTGGCCACCTCCATCCTGCTGCCCTTCCCAGCCAGCCGTGGCCGGGAGGAGGTGGACAACCGCAGCGAGCACAGCTACAGCGAGTCGGGAGCCAGCGGCTCCTCCTTTGAGGAGCTGGACCTGGAGGTCACCGGGGATGGGGAGGGAGCCCCGAGCCTGCTGCCCAGCGTGGGCTACTCAGGCAACCAGGAGGTCACAGACAAGTGGACCAAGGAGCCCATTGCTGCTGAGAGAGGAGAAGAGTAAAGCGGAGACCTGGCTGCCTCGCCTCCCGCCGGGGTCTGAGCTACTGGGAACTGGTTGCCTTTCCCACCTCCTCCCTCTCCAACCGAGAGATTTTGGTCACTGATTCCCCCCGGGACCTGCTCTCCCTCTTTGCAGAAAGGGTGTTTGACTGTTTTGGGGATGCCCGGAGGCAGAGGGGTCTCCTGCAGTGCTCAGCGGTGGGGTAGGTGCAGGCTGGGGGGGCAGTGAAATGCATTTGCTGTCTGTGTGTCTCTAGATGCATCGCAAGTTCCTCGTGGGCATCTCGGGGGGTGGTGGTGGTGGTGGAGGGAGAGGTGTCCCCCCTTGACTCTGCTGGTGCCTCTCTCACCCACAGCTTCTCTCTGTCGCACCGCCGCGTGTTTTTGAACACCAAAGAGCCGTGAGTAGGGTCGGTTGGGTTTGTTCCCCTCTTTTTTTCCCCTTGCTGAAGAAATGGAAACATCCCGTGTAAACCTGGTTCTCCTGGCACTGCCGCGGGCGCTTCTGGGGTCTGTAATAAAGTGGATGCTTTTCCTCACTGGTGGCTGGTGGCATTGGTGACTGTCTCCTGGCCCTTTGCGCCATCCAGCCCTGTGGTGGGGAGCGGGCTGTGGTGAGCCCAAGGGCTCTGTGTCCCCACTGCATGCACTTGCCCCCTGCCCGGGCAACCCATCAGGGCCACGGGGACATCCCTGGCTTGTGCAAGCTGTGGGGGGAGCGGGGAAGGGTCCCAGCCACCGTGCCCAGCTGGGCTGGGCAGGAGGGACGTGGCACCCCTGTTCCTTTTGGGAACCTGCTGAAAGTAAAACCAGTAAAGCCAGGTCCCTGGGCTGCTGGTGGGCCTGTCACCGCTGTGCTCCTCCTGTGGCAGCGGGGACCAGACTGCCTGCTCGTGCCTCCCTGGCATCCCAGCTGCCTGGTCCCACAGCCGCGGGGTGCAGGCAGGGAGGGCTGCCCACACCAGACCCAGTTCACTGTCCCCCAGCTGGGGAAAAGGGACCAGCCTGGACATCACCACCATGGTGCCCTGGGGTGATGCTGGTTGCTGGAGCATCTTACCAGGCTGGCAGAGCTCAGCCCCTGCCCTGCCCCGGTGCCTCTGGCAGCCCAGGGCTTGTTCCCCAGCAGTCAGATGTGGTGGCCCAAATCTGGCGCTTGGAGTGAGTGTGCAAGGGGCAGGGGAAACCTGGCTGTCCCTCCGTGGTGGGGACATGTCCTCCCTGGCTTGGAAAGGTCATGATTAGTCTTCAGCCAGTGATTGACATGAAATTGTTCATAAATATTTTGTGCTCCGAGTGATAAAATATTAAACTCCTCCAGCCCACATGGAAAAATATTGCTCTTCCCGGTGTTTATCTTTGTTGCTGGTTATTACAAAGCTGCCAAGCCCCCTGAAATATTTATGCCTGGCTGAGGCTCCAGCGGGGTTGGAGACAGGCAGTAGATCCTAATGCCACTTGTCCCCTAACCCCACCAAAGATGGGGGCCAGCGAAGCTTTGCCATTGTCCTTGTGCTGTCAGCAGCGCCACAGCAGCAGCCAGGAGGATGGAGCCGGTGCCGAGGTGTGTGTGAGGTTTGTGCCAGGTCCCATCTGCTGGGGGGATAGCGGGACGTTGGCAGTGCCAGCATCCTTCATCACAGCACGTCTCCAGCCCTCCCCAGCTCTCTGTCCCCCCTGGCCAGCGGTAGCAAGGTCCCCTAGCACAGACACCCTCCCCAGTGCCCTGCTCTGTTTCTGCTAACGATCTTGAAAGGAGATGGGACAGTGGGGTCTGGGGTCCTGGTGCCTTGGGACCCCAGGAGGGACGTTGCCAGGGAGGTCCTGGATTGTCACCCCCAAATCAGGACTGCTGGGCTGGGGGGGGACAGAGCAGGTCTGACTCCTGCTGCAGGGCCCTAACCCGCAGCTTGCCAGCACAGCAGCCAGCAGTGGGGAAACTGAGGCACGGGGAAGTGAGGTGGTTACTTGGGGTGGTGCTCCAGAGGCACTGCTGGCCTCTGCCCATCCCTGTGGGTCCTGTGTCACCTCCTGTCCCGTTCTTGTCCCTGGGTCATGGAACTCTCCAGGACACCCAGGCTGGCAGCGCAGGACCCATGGGGAC